TATTTTCAAAAATAAGTAAAAAAAAAAAAAAAAAAAGATACAATTTTAGGATAAACAGCCATCTTAAACGTAAGATAAGTAAATATGGCTTTCACAGAATATTATTATATTGATTATTCAAATGCTTTCGAAATAAATATATATATATATATATTGCATTAAATGTTATGTAATTTCTATATATAGCATTTATAGAGTAATATATATATATATAATAGAGTATATATTTGTAAACTTAAACCGAAAATAAAACGTTCCTGTACAAATGTTCAAGTACTTTCGTGAGGAGCCATATTTACACGGAATATTTCAAAGTTGTTACATACGATCGTAATAATCGAGTCTCACTGAAAATGAAATCAGGTAAAGAACGGTTACATTCGAAGAATAACAGACGACGAGGTGAAGTCCCTGGCACTGGAAATAGCCGGTACCAACGTCACGACAACGTATATCTTCTGCCCACGTGCACCCCAGAAAGCCCTCGGCATTAAACTTCCATTTCTCATCATGATTATCAAGAACATGAAGAAGTACTTCACGTTCGAGATAACAGTAAATTTTTCACGTGAACGATTTGGTGCCTCCCTTTGCTTTTCCATTGTATTTTTTTTTTTTTTTTTTTCTTTTTTTTATTACAAGAATAACAACCAGACCGTGGACTTTTACGCATTTCATCGGGTAATTCGAAGGTGTAAAGATTCATGTAAAGTACACTGCATGTGAAAACGCGTAAAAATCATTTGCATTGGTAATTTTACAATAATTTTTACATCTATATCATAATGTTACGCGTTCGTGTAATTCTGAAGATGCATGAAAGTCCACAGTTCGCGAGCAATGACATTTCGTAATAGCGAAACTATGCAGATGAAGTATGTTGTTGTTCTTGGTTCGATAGATACTCGACAACAAGGATATGCACAGACGATTTCGAGTGAGCAACTTTGAAAGTACCACTCGAGTTCGACCGTTCTGCACGTCAATGCCGATCGGCCTATGCCCCGGCTGGAATCAGATTCAATTTAATCTAGCGGATTTCACGCGCAGAGCGTACGGAACAAATTATATCGAGACTACGCGCATCCAAATCCACGCAAACTGCAGGATTCGACGTATCTATTTTGCAGACAGGTAGGAAATTAATTATTGATTCCATTTGTAATTCAAATCTGCGTCCAGTGACAGGCACAATATTTCTATCGTTTGTGGCAGAATGATATTTTTGCAGGTACAGGTATTTTTCATTTTCTGTAAATTTATATATATATATATATATATATATGTTATCATTTATTACTGGCTCTTTCATTACTTCAATGACAATGATAATTATTGATAATAGTTTCATTGTTGGTTGCTTACTTTTTTACAAGTATAAAACTTGCCATACCCATAATCTAAATATTTGTTACATCAAACAGACTCTATGCAGAAAACGAACTGCCCGAAGAGTTTAAACTCTTCAAGCCACTTCAGCGAGTGAAATGCGTACAAGAGGACGACGAGAAAGAAAAGGATTTCACACAGGAAGAAATTGAAATTCCAAACGACGTACCGCCTATGATGCCTGATATAGAAGAACCAGCTGATATTCCGCAGATATGGGAAGAACCATTAGAAAATAATCTGCCATTCGAAGAGCAGTTTGTTCCCCTAGAAGAGTTTATGCCGACTCTGAACGAACAGGAAAGAGAGGAACAGGAAAGAGAGGAACAGGAAAGAGAGGAACAGGAAAGAGAGGAACAGGAAAGAGAGGAACAGGAAAGAGAGGAACAGGAAAGAGAGGAACAGGAAAGAGAGGAACAGGAAAGAGAGGAACAGGAAAAAGAGGAACAGCAAAGAGAGGAAGAGCAAAGAGAGGAAGAGCAAAGAGAGGCACAGCGAAGAGAGGAACAGCAAAGAGAGGAACAGCAAAGAGAGGAACAGCAAGGGGGACAGGAAGAGCTTCTTGAAGAAATCGAATACGAAGATGATGAAATTGATGAACAACTTATTCGTGAAGTATATCGTGGATACGACCCGGATGATGAAGCCAATGGAGAACGAATTCACGACGACGAATTCGAATATAGAGTTCCATAGAATTGAGAAGTTTTTGATTTCGTGTAAATACGATGAATAAAGTGTCTACGTTTCTGTGACTTGAAATAGCGCCCAAATAAATTTCGTTGTTAATAAATAAATTGAAATCTAAGAAATTCTGTCGGTTTATTTTTTTTTTTGCTTGATGTTTGATTTTATAATACTCAATAGAAAAGTATATCGGTTGATAACTATCCCAGAAATTTACATTTGGAAAATATTCGCGGAGAACATAGATAAAGTATATATATAGTGGATAGACATAAGTACAAACATGGATAATTTCTTTCATTCATTATTTATACTTTATACAGCGGTTTCAGTTAAAAAATATACTTCCATCTGATATTCAATACTAATTACAAAAAGAGAAAATTACGGACCGTTACTTTTTTGCGAAACAATAAAATCGCCATTGGTACATATGATACAAATAAAAAATATGAAATAAAAACTCAACCAGTGTTTAGTTATGGTACGTCGTAGTCATCGTCTTCTCTTTTCCTCTTCATGGACTCTTCGACTTCTACTTTGACAGGAGGCATTGTTTGCCCTGAGGAAATCTGTATTTTTGGTTTACCTACTTGTGCTTTTACAGTGCCTCCTCCAGCCGTAGCTGTAAATTTCAACGTTTAACACAAATAGGATACTTAAAATAACAAATTTTAATATTACCACACCATTAATTTTATATCTTACATATTTGTGTTCTTAGTGAAATATGGATAGAGGGAACAGATGTTTGGGAATGTAAGGCTCTGAAAGGATCTGTGGAGCAATACATAATTGATTGTTCCTAACATACTTTTACCTTTTTTTCCATCACTTACCTGTTGAAAACTTCAGCACCGGTTTTGGCATAGAAATACTTTGAGTTCTGGCAACCGTTGCAAGTGTGCCTGGCCTCTTGACTATAGAAAGACCTGATTTATTACTTTCAACTTTGATTTTGGATTGACCACCTTGGATGTTGTTTCCGACCAAAGGATGTAACGGTTTTCCAACAATCTTTTTCGTCACATTTTTAAGTTTGTAATTCGTTGCATTCAAACAAAATCTGTCAGGTGGTAATCTTAAGCCAGTGTTCGACTTGACAAATGGAAGTGGCACATTGTTTTTCGCTCGAGCAACATCTAATAACACGTCTCTTGGCGGCGGATTTGTGAATGTACGCTCTAACTGCATCTTAACTGCCAACCTAACATCATCTAAATCGATGAACTTCTTTTTAGCATGATTTGCATAAATTCTACTGTCGTCCAATATGCAAGTAACATAACCTGCAAAATATAAACCAATCATTTTATAACTTATTGTTTCTTACTATAAAACTATAAAATGAAAAGTGGTATACATGCACGATTATATATCTATAATATTCATATTGTTTTAAGTAAAATACAAAATACGTACGATACGTAAATTCGAGCAATTGGTTTATAACCTTCGGTTCGTAATCTGTAATCCCCATGTCTTTCATAATTGACATTATAACTTGGGCATCCTTCGGAATATGTTTCACGTGGCTCATGGTTTTCGCTTTCTCCGTCATTTTTTAAAAATAATACTCTTATAATTGCACTTTCCACAACAATTCGTAATCACAATTGTACATGTTTTAGGTTAGCGTCCGACAGACAATTGTGAAGTACGCGCCATTGTTCACGCAGTGCTGCCACCCATAAAGTGTGAATTTTCGAGAGTTTAAAAGGTCGATTTACAATTTTAAAAGTTCGTTATTCACACATTTAATTAATTACTATCATTTGTTACCGTCGTCAGTTTTATTATTAGATAAATGTTTTCGAGGAATGACGAGCAAGAGAGAAGAGACGTGATGTTTAAAAATGATACGAATTTCTTCGTTGTTAGTATGGCAATCATTGAGACAACTTGTGGCACGTTTCAATTGAATTTGGTTACTCAGTTCGTGGCTTGCCATCAAACTGTCTTGGAGAGTTTTCGCTACAGGAATTATATATCGTATAAAATTCAAAATGAACATCACATCAGCAGGTAAATTATCTGTTTTCAATGTAACAATATAGCGTATGTCTAAATTTTATTATCTACAAATTTATTGGTACATTTTTATACTGTATTTGGTTATCACACATGCAATGATTTGCAAATCTTGTAGTTCATAACCTATAGATTTGTATTTGAATTAAATACAATGATGTATTTTGTACAATGTGTATTTTGTTAACAAACATTGTTTTACGATCCGTGTATTTTTTAGTTAATTCGATTTATTGATCTTGATTACTCTATTTTCAGCTGGCATCATTTCCCTCCTTGAGGAGCCAATGCCAGAACTGAAGGTGTTTGCTTTGAAAAAGCTGGATATGATAGTCGATGAATTTTGGCCTGAAATTTCCGAGGCCATAGAAAAGATGTAAGTAATTTTTATTGTACTACTTATTTCTTTATAACTGATTTTGTTTGATAAGTGTTTTAATAAAACATTTTCTTTTTTATTCAAGTGAGATTCTTCATGAAGACAAATTATTTCCTCAACACGACTTGGCTGCACTAGTTGCTAGCAAAGTGTATTATCATCTAGGAAGTTTTGAAGATTCTTTGACTTATGCTCTAGGAGCTGGGGAACTCTTTGATGTTAATGCTCGCAATGAATATGTTGATACTACTATAGGTATTAGCAGTATTTTATTGGCTACTATTTTTAAATATTATTTAAATTATATTTTGCAATGAGAATATTTACTTTTGTATTATTTCAGCTAAATGCATTGATTATTATACTCAACAACGCGTGTTGGAAGCTGAGGGGAAACTGCAATTAAACAGCAAAGGAATCGATCCGAGATTAGAAGGAATTGTAAACAGAATGTTTCAGCGATGCTTAGATGACAATCAGTATCGTCAAGCTCTGGGTCTTGCTCTGGAAACAAGAAGAATGGATATCTTTGAAGCTGCAATCATGCAATCAGTGGGTTGAATGTTAACTTATGTAAGTAATATAGGCGATAAGAAAATTTATGCTCATTAATGTATTTATTGCAGGATGATGTTAGTGGCATGCTGTCCTATGCGTTTCAAGTTGTTATGAGCCTCATTCAAAATCGTGGCTTCCGTAATACTGTACTTCGTTGCTTAGTAAGCCTTTACCGTAACCTGGGAACACCGGACTATGTTAATATGTGTCAGTGTTTGATATTCCTCGACGATCCACTGGCTGTTGCTGAACTTCTAGACAGACTGAGCAAAGGCTCACAGGACTGTGTTCTTATGGCCTATCAAATCGCATTTGACTTGTACGAATCAGCAACTCAACAGTTCCTTGGTCGTGTTCTACAAGCGTTGAGAGCAACTGCTCCTATTCCGGGAGCCCTTATGGTTAAACCAATTGTAAAACCAGCTGTGAAACCAGCCACTGAGGCTAGCTCTTCAGAGCCGGCAGCTGCAGAGACTGAAAACAATAGTAATACAGCAGCTCCTGAGGAGAAATCTCAACGTAGCGTTGAAAGTTTGGTAAGTTTTAAAAATAAAATAGTACATACGCACTGACATAACATGCAGTAATGTAAATTTGTTAATTTATCGTTTCGTTTGTTTAGAATACCGAGGAACGTGAGCAACAGGAACGCGTGGACGCTTTGTCAAGTATATTAGGCGGAGAAATTTCTATCGATTTGCATCTTCAATTTCTAATTCGCAGTAATCATACCGACATGTTGATATTGAAAAATACTAAAGATACTATACGTGTGTCTATTTGTCATACTGCCACAGTAATCGCGAATGCGTATATGCATTCTGGAACTACTAGCGACCAATTTTTAAGGTAAATATACTTCATTATATTCAATTTAACCAGATTATATTTTTAAAAGATGTCTTTACGTTTTATTTTATTTCTTCGTCATATTTTAGAGATAATTTAGAATGGTTGGCTAGAGCTACAAACTGGGCAAAATTAACAGCAACAGCCTCCTTAGGGGTAATTCACAGAGGCCACGAACAAGAAGCCTTAGCCCTAATGCAGTCTTATCTTCCACGAGATACCGGCGCGGGAGCTGGTTACTCCGAAGGAGGTGGCTTGTACGCATTAGGACTCATTCACGCAAACCACGGCGCAGCAATTACGGATTATCTGCTTGGTCAGCTGAAAGATGCACAAAACGAGGTACAGTAGTCTATTGAAACATATTGCGATTGCGAAGTCAATTTAGTACTAAAATAGATTTAGCATTAAATCAGACGATAAGAAATTTCAGCTAATTTTGTTCGATAAAATATCTTTAATCTTTTTCCGCCTATTCTTCTTTCGAATCTATGAAAAGTTAGAGTTTCAGATATTATATTTCTTTACAGCAAATGTAGTGTTGTTTGTTTATCTCAGCTTGCTATTTACAATCTGCAATGATTTCCTTACAGATGGTACGTCACGGAGGCTGTTTAGGATTGGGTCTAGCCGCAATGGGTTCACACAGGCAGGATGTGTACGAACAATTGAAATTCAATCTTTATCAAGATGACGCTGTTACTGGCGAGGCTGCGGGCATCGCTATGGGCATGGTCATGCTGGGATCAAAGTCAACCCAAGCAATTGAGGATATGGTTGCGGTAAGTAAGAAATAAAAATTCTTTTGCACGGCTATTAGTTGTAATAAATAAATCAAGTGCTATTTATTTCTCAACGTGAACAAGAATTTCACACACAATTAAACTACGCGTAGAGAATAATTTTACCCAAGGGCGAAGGGTGAACTGCTTCTAGTTTTGAAATGGTAGGTTCCTTTAGCTCTGTGAAAGAAATTAGTTCGTATTAGCATCAGATAATTCAGTCGACATCAGTCCCTAACTAACATTAATTTAGACCTTGTGATTACTTAGCTTTTTGTTATTTTTCATCCAATTTAATTTTATCATGAAGTAGAAAGTAAAGTTAAACGCTCAAAGTTTTAGCTTTTCAATAGAGATTATTACAAGCCAATGACACCCAACGATTTGAATATACATTATACTGCCATTTATAGTTCTTATACTGATACTATTTGATGACTTTTTAAGACAATAATAAATTAAACTCACAATTAAAAGAGTAAGATCTACCCAAAGATTCTATTAAGTATTTGCGTTCTACGCGTTTGAATGCACAAAAATTCACAATTAACAGTAGTAAAATAAAATTTACCTTGGATCGAGAGTAGGACCACCCATGTATGCCTTTGCACCATTGTCAGTTGTACCTAGGAAACCTTTAGAATTCGTCACAGACTCACTGTAGTATTGGTAACTGCGTCCATGCGCGCAGGATCCTACATCCCCAAAGTATTGAAACTTTATTTTTGAAACTTTTGGAGTTTCTTCAATTCTGGTGGTGGGTGTACTTTGCTTACCGAACATATCATTTGTGCATCCTGGTTGATACCTCCCATCGTTGGCGAAGAAGTCGGAGGTACCGATAGAGATATCCAAACCTAGCAATCCGGCACATGTGTGAACAGCTTGAACGTTTCGTGCGTCCGTTTTGTCAACTCTCTCCCCCGGCCCTTTGTTTTCGAACATTGGCTTGGCTGGGTCGAGAGCTGTAATCGCAAATATTTCACGATAATTTTTTATATAATATTTTGAATATTTGGTTAAATATTTTTTTACATAATATTTTAAATACTTTGTTAAATATTTTTTTGTATAATATTTTAAATATTTTGTTAAATATTTTTTTGTATAATATTTTAAATATTTTGTTAGATATTTTTTTATATAATATTTTAAATATTTTGTTAAATGTTTTTTTGTATAATATTTTAAATATTTTGTTAGATATTTTTTTATATAACATTTTAAATATTTTGTTAAATATTTTTTTTATATAATATTTTAAATATTTTGTTAAATATTTTGTTAGATATTTTTTATATAATATTTTGTTAAATATTTTTTTGTATACTTTAAATATTTTGTTACAATGAATGAAACAAGAATCGAAGAGTATAGGAAAAGGATACTTCACATCCGATGTTTCATTATATCACACTTTAAAATGTAGGGGGAAAAAAAAGGAATCTGTCAAGTTTTCCTCATCTTCAATTGGAGTTTCGAAATTTGCATAAGATTCTTCGTTCACTTCAATTCTCTTCCCTCAACATTTCTTTCCACGTATTTTCTCTCACGTTACGATGATCTAAATATATCCTCTATATTTAGAATCATTTATCTTTTAATTAATCGTTCATTGATTGTCTTCAATCCAATAAATCTGCTCTGTTGTTTCCAATCTCGCACGAAGATCTATAATCCTCGATTATTATTTCGCGTAGGATTAATAGATAATAATAACACGTTTTGTTTGTGATAATTAGAACTGCGAAACTATTAAATTTATTATAAACGTAAAGACAGTATTAAGTACTTGGCGTACTAATTTCTTTGCTAGAATTAGATCGTACGGAATGTTGGATAATTTTTTTGAAAATTATTTCGATCAAATTTGCACCATTATTTTCGATCAAAGTGAGCACCGTTTACATCCACGACATTCTTTCAATGAATTCTCAAAGTTTTGGCTTTTCAAAAGCGATAAACGTTGAGTGAGAAAGGTTTTTGAACGTGAGAATGATCCCGAACTTTCGGGAAGATGAGAATCTGTTAGAGAAATCTGAGGAATAGTAACTTAACACTGAAAGTTTCCGTACAATAATTTATAAAGTGTCGATTAGACAAGAATGAAATTCGAAAATTTGCCAAGGATATCGAACGATAAACGATCTTCAGTCAAGTTGAATTAGCAACGTTGAATGAACACGAATCCACGTTCTAACACAGGGAGATATTGAGTCAGTTTTCTCGATGAAGCAAATTTGCCACGTCCTCTGTTTCTTTATTGTTACTCACCGATAACTTCCGCGACATTGCCAACTTTTCTCGCGCTGAGGCCGGCGACGTGTGCACCGAGGGAGTGCCCGACAATCTTCAAGTTAGTGGTTTGCAAGCCGGCCTTAGAACGCAGGAAATTGACGAAAGCTGCCACGTGGTCGGCGACAGATGGTACGCTCTTCACAACGCGAGAATAAATCACGTTGTCCGCTATTTGACTCCAATCGACCACGATGACATTGCTGTTCCACACTTTGATGAAAGCTGCGAAACGAAATCAATTAGTACGCGAGATAATTACAGCGTTTTGTAATTATTCTCGGTAAGGAACGTAAGGACTTTGAAGTTGGTAAAAGTAGGGATAAAAATTAGTAAATAATAAATATTGAGACAGTCACGGGAAGAGTGTTATTAATTGATAAACATGGATGGAGAATGATTTTGTAAGTTTAGTATTCATCACGAGTGGGAAATGAAACATTCCCCAAAAAATCAATTGATCGGATCTGAAATTGTCGATGCTGAGCAACTGATTGATTTCAAACGTCGATTGAAACTTACCATTGCGAACGAGAGTGCATGATTCTGACGAACCCGAGGAAGTCCAACCGTGGGTGACTATGATGGTTGATTTCTTCGCGTCCCAATCGCTATTTCGAACAGAGTTCACGTCGTTCAGTATCAGGGCCTGGCCTTTTTTTGGATTATACCTGGAATGAAAATTGCATTTTATTTGAAGAGTGAGTAAGAGAATGACAGTTGTTTCTCTAAAAGAAAAAAAAAAAAAAAAAAAGAAGTTGTCTAATTCCATTAGTGTGAAACTAGATAAAATTCAATTACATATCCTTATGAATGAAACTTATGAGGAAAAATTATTTGACTCGAATGAATAATTAAGAATTGTGAAACCGTCAAAATGACTGAATTTTTACGATTATTTAACATTGAAATACTCTTGAAAGAATTGAATTTTGCGCGAGAGGAGGAACGAATTTGTATCACAATCCCTAAATTAATTATATTATATGTAATGCATATTATTTATATTATATATTATAATTATGTTATGTATAATGTATGTTATTTATATTATATATTTTAATTATATTTATATTATATATTATATCATATTATATATAATTATATTTATATTGCTATATATCATATTATTATATATAATATTATTATATTATATATAATTATATCATATATCATATAATTATATATAATATTATCATATTATATATAATTATATTTATATAATTATGTTTATATTATATATTACATTATATATATTATAAAATATTTTTATTTATATTTTATTTATTAATATTTTAAATTATATTTATATTAAATATATTATATTTATATTGTATAATATATTAAATTATATATTATATTAATTATATTATATTTATATTATATAATATATTATATATATTTTATGATATATTATTTTTTTTTATTATATATTATATTATATAGAATTTATGATATATTATTTATATTATTTATTATATTATATTATATATAATATAATTATATTATCGGACACGAAATTTGCATAAACTTAGCAATGATCACCAAGAAAAGTATTTTTTCCGTAAATTGGAAAATTAGCGAAGGTACTGACCGTGTGAAAAGTGTGAAAGTGATCGTGTTGATGTCTGTTCCCAAAGTGTTCAGCTCCTCCGTAGACAGCGGTGTATGATCGAGTAGAACGAAGTACGGTGCTCCTTGCTCGGTCGGGAAAATCGTGTAATTGCTCTGCGACAGCATCGTGAGCATCGTGGGATAAACTGGAAAAGGACAATCGTCTCTCGTCAATTCACAATTAACTGAACTTCCATTTTGCACCGATTCACAATTTCAACCTTCGATTTCGATTTCGGGAAAGTTGCAGTGGCGAAAACGAGCGCGCAACGCGATCGAGCAATTTAAAAACATTAAGCAATTAAGCATTTAAAAACATTTGAAATATGAAAATCTCAGATTAAAAAAAAAAAAAAAAAAACGCGTCCAAAGTGGCGCGAGAATTAACAAATTTCAGTTACGATCGAGTAGAAAAGAAAAAATACACAGAAATCCACAAATTATGATTGCCACGGGATTTAAAGAGGTTTTCAAGATACGAACGTAGCGCTAACGACGCGTTGACCATTTTGTCGGCTATACGATCGCTATACGTGGCGAGATGTGGTCGTGACTTCTTTGCTTTCGCGTTTCACGGCGTTCCTTTTATAGGTTTAAGGGAAACAATAGGTTGTCCACTCGATCGCTGCACCGTTGATAAGTCACTGATACACATTGGCTGACGAACGATCACCGATTCACACACTCGCAAACACACCGCTGCGAATAGTCAGGAAAAATAGCCAGCGGATTTTAGTCTTAACGTAAGCGCGGTCTTAAATGAAATGATTTCCCCCCTTGAATGTCACATTCGTTCTCGCAACACTTTGGAAATTTATTTATTTTTATGTATCATGATGTGGCAGACTTTCTTCTCGTGTTATCTTTGTAATATTTAGAATATTTAAATTTTAATAATAATATATGTTATATATTAAATAATAATATATGTTATATATGAAATTTTAATAATAACAATAATATATATGTTATATATTAACATTAAAATTTTAATAATAACTATATATTAACTATATATTAACTATATATTATGTATTAACATTAAAATTTTATTACTAACAATAATATATGTTATATATTATATTTTAATAATAACAATAATATACGTTACATATTAAATTTTAATATTAACAATAATATATGTTATATGTTAAATTTTAATAATAACAGTAATATATGCTATATATTAACATTAAAATTAATATTATATATTAACTATATATTAACTATATATTATATATTAACATTAAAATTTTATTACTAACAATAATATATGTTATATATTATATTTTAATAATAACAATAATATACGTTACATATTAAATTTTAATAATAACAATGATACATGTTATATATTAAATTTTAATAATAACAATAATACATGTTATATATTAAATTTTAATAATAACAATAATATATGTCTTGTTATTTTAATAATAACAATAATATATGTTATATATTATTATATATTATATTTAGAATATTTAAATAGTAATATATATTATATAATAATATAATAAAATATCTATATTATTTATAATATATATTATATTCATATTATAGTAACAGTGTAATATTTTATGTATTATTAATTACTTTGACAGTAGTATTCAAAACAGAGTGCTCAGATTTTGACATTAAGCGAGCAACAGTTCACAAAATTCAAAATTCATAATATGGAAATGAATACTTTTCGATTTTTGGAGTAACATTTTGATCATGGAGATGTTCATCATCTCTCTGGTAATTTGCTAGATCCGTGCTCGATAAAAAACACGGTGACTTCGAAGCAATAAGGTGATCATCCAGACGTCTTTTAACTTCATCGGATGTTGTAAATTTCGCATCTCTTCGGGAATGTCGCAGAAACTTAGAGAAATAAAAATTAGGGACCGTAAGTCTGACAAATAAATGTCAAAGCGAGGAAGAATTTCGTTTGGACCTATTTCGTCGGAATAGAGGATTCCCTTGACAAATTGACGATTCTTTTCTCGCTGAGTTTCGTCGTTTGAGTTCGACAATTGTTGCCGATGGACAATTATTTCTCCTGGATTTATTTCGTGATAGCTGCTTCTTCTGGATTTAACAGTTTCGCCCTTCTTTGCGTGGTTTTGCTCAATCGATGTTGCAGCCTTCATCTTGTTCTTGCTTCGAATGGTCATAAAATAAACCATTTTTCGCTATTTAACTATTTGATATACGACGTGTCCCGAATTTTAGGTGACAAAATTTAATATACTGTGTATATTATTTTATTTTTTATATTTATTTAATATTTTTTTCATTTTGTTATATTTTATTTATTATTTTATTTCTTATATTTATTAAATATTCTTTTCATTTTATTATATTTTATTTATTACTTTATTTCTTATATTTATGAAATATTCTTTTCATTTTATTATATTTTATTTATTATTTTATTTCTTATATTTATGAAATATTTTTTTCATTTTATTATATTTTATTTATTAAATATTTTATTATATATATATTTTATTTATTAAATTTTTTTTTATCTTATATTTTATTTATTATTGTATCATATTATTTTATTTCTTATATTTATTAAATATTGTTTTTATTTTATCATATTTTATTTATTTTATTATAATATTTTATTTTTTTATTTTATTTTTTTATTTTATTATTTTTATTTACCCGAATCTAAATGTCGAAACCTCAACGAAAACATACAGAGGGCCAGCAAAAAGCCAAGGAAAAAGAGGTTTGCTCCGTTTTAGAGAAACTCGCGAAAGGGAATTTTGATTTTTCTCGTTTGTTCAGAAGATGAAATCATAGCTGCAGCGCCAGAAGGAACAATGTCCAGCTCTGAACAGAGTGTTCAGTGTACGACGTAATGCTTGCATTGCTGCAAATGACCAGCCGTTTGAATCAGTATCTTCGTTAAATAAATGACTTGATATTGCGAGGCGATATTGCATGATAGTAACATGGACGACGAAGCAGACGATAACGGTCAACAAATGCAAATAAATAAATGAAAGAACAATATTCTTACAGGGATTACTCATCGTCGTTTGCTCTTTCTCAAAAACAATTGACATTTGCCTGTTACGTGTATCTAGAAATGTATTTTCAAATATATGGAAATATTTTTAAACATTCTGAAAAATATATATTTTAAAAGATTTAATTCACTTGCCAGCGAAGTCGCCTGAATTGTGAAAATCATCGCAATTGCAAAAGCTCGCGATAAATTTATTTTTTATTTTATACTTCTATCGTAGTTTTATTTTTTCATCATATTTAATTTGTGTTTCTATGGTTAAGAGACCGGAGATTATTTGGCTATTATGAAAAGAGGTCGTGAGTGCTTTTTTATGTTACTCTCTTATGTGTTGGAAATGAGTTTTTGATAACTACGCAGAGATAAACTAATTTATCACTGGTCCCCGATTATGTAGCGTGTCGATAATATTTCGTTTCTTTTATTCAACTCGTCATTAGATAGTAATTAGAATACAGAGTATTTTATAGGTTCGTCCTACAGTTTTAAATTGTCTTTTTAACCTTCTTCGAGGAATGAGACGAATTTCGAAATTCTCTGTCGTTATGCGACTATAATTATTGGGCCTACAGCACACTAATTTCTTATGGTATTTTGTACATTTTTCTTTGACGCGACTTCTTTAATTTAATGTGATAATTAATTTAGATTTGTTCCGAACTTGACCAACACAGTCGTCGTAATCGAATCTCTTAAAGTGTTTTTATAAATACGTTTCATATGCTGAAGTAGGGGTAATTTTATTTTTTGAAAATTGTGAGAATTCTAACTGTTAGAAAAATTTTTCTCTTTCGACCAGATCGAAATCTGCTGCACCGTTTTGTTGGAAAGAAAAAAAAGGAGAATGGACTTTAGAGTTTAAACGTTAGAATTTCTCGAATTTTAATAAATAACGAAACAATATTTAATAAGTCACGAAAGAAATTTTAAATGCTTCTAGAAAATGTGTTCCTCTCGTGTTGGATCATTTCGCAAAACGATCGAAAATCTTGTTTCATCTTCAATGAATTTACATCTCACTTTCATTAAGTAAAATTTTAATTTCTTTTATACTTATTAATTTGAATTTCTTTTATACTTATTAATTTACATCTCACTTTCATTAAATAAAATTTGAATTTCTTAATTATACTTATTAATTTTAATTTCTTTTATAATTATTCACTGTAATATAATTACTAGATATTAGCAAATATGCTGATTCTGCATTTCATTTTATTTTTCAAATTTCATTAATTACTGATGCAATTCTAATTCTTAATTTCATTTTATATTCGCTAATTTATTATAGTTGTACCATGCGTGTTCAAACTTCAGAAGATATCGCGCGAGTGAGTTTCTTGTCGCGCGTTGCGAGCTGGCGTAAGATTTTCAGATAATATCGATCAGAAAGCTCGTGTTACGTGTATTTTTGTCGTGCATTTGCGATTCTTCAAAGTGTTACAGTCTTTTAAGTTCGAGCTCGGTATCTCTAGAAGCTGTTACCATTTTTCTTTTTTAATTTTTTTCTTCTTGCTAAAAGCGTGGAAATTAAAAACGACAAGTGTAATGGAGAAGTGTGTTCTTGAGATCCCAGGTTTTTATACGTTTTCATAATACGACGAGCAGATTACGAGAGACGTGTTGGAAAAGAAAACTATGCGAGCGTCGAGAGAAATGATCTTTCGCAATTTTATTTCCTTTCGAAAATGCGAGGAATCCAACGGTTGCTTGAACGAAGGATGTGTCGAGGAATTGTTATGTGATTTTGCAACAATTTTGTTGTATAATTATTATGTAAACAAATACATAAATTATTAATATATATATATATATACAAATTATAATTATATTATGTAATATATATAATATAATAAATAAGTATATAATTATTTATATATATTTATATATTTATTACATAATTATTTATATTATTATAATATAACATATTATATATTATATATGTTCTATAATTATAATGTACACTATTTATATATATTATTTAATTTTATTATATTTAATTATGTTATATATATTAATTATTTATATTATTATATTATGATATATTATATATTATATATATTCTATAATTATAATGTATACTATTTATATATATTATTTAATTTTATTGTATTTAATTATGTTGTATATATTAATTATTTATATTATTATATTATAATATAATAATTGTTATATTATACTATATTTATATAATTATATTATCTAAGTATATAATTATATATATTATTTATATATAATACATTTTGTATTATATATAATACAATTAATAAGTATACAAAATATTAAGTAATAGTAAAAAATAGTATAAATAATAGTAAAAGTAATATATATAAATAATATATAATAATATAAAGTAATATATAATATTTAATATATATTATAATGATAGTATAAATAATAGTAAAAAATAGTATTAAAATATTAATTAAAAAAATATATTGCAAAGATAATAACAATCTAAATTTTTTTTCGAGAGAGAAGGAGGCACGAAGCACAAATTAAATCCCCCTGTATTAATCTATTTGCACATTTTTAAAAGAACATCCCTTTCTCTCTCTCTCTCTCTTTTATCGCCATTAACATGCAGGCTCTTAACTTTCTTTTTTTCACCCTTTCACTCTTTGGTTTATATCCATTGGTTCTTTTTTCCTCGTTTCTCGTTTCCCACGGCTAATCCATTCACTTTTTCACCGAAGTGCACTCTAAAACTATCCACGCGTGCACTCCAACGTATTCACGTTGTACATATTCCTTGTAAAACTTCATTTTCATTCGGAGAATCGATTTAAGCGTATCGATTTGCTTTGAAACGGGCTTTGCTTCAATCCCGACTGTTTCGTTTTTCTCGCACTTTTAATAAATTTTCCAGCCAATTTTCGAATTCAGAAGAGTCGCGGATCGATTTAATTGAATCGATAAAAGAAATGATCCATTTTGAAAGAAGTATAGAAATTAGAAAATATTTGTTCGTCTGCAAATTAAAAGACACTTCTCCGTGATATCTGCAAACTGTGTCGAGATATAGATATTTAGATCAATAATTATTAATCACGTAATTAGATTGACAATGAACAATCAGTGTGATTTTCGTTTTGAAACAAGCGAAAGATTTGGAACGTCAACGTGTTAATGTTACGAGTAAACATTAATGTTAATAATAATAAAGGAACAAACTGATAGATGTAAAAATTGCAAGAAACATTTTCGAGAATGAAAATTCTCAGAAAATGCGATATACGATAAATCCACAATGCGTAGGAAAATATTAGTTTAGTTGTTAGATAGCTGAACGTCGAATTGATATCTGTAATAATTTCACACGCTCTGGAGATTGGTGAAATAGAATTGAAAACATGATTCATGAATTTCAAAATTACTACTCTGCGCTGAGAGCCGAAAGATTATGATTGCACAATCATTTATTTATTTATTACAGTGGAATGATCGAGTTGTTTGGAAAGATCTTTGGAGATTAGATTTTAGGGAATTGTTTGCATTGCTAGGGAATGATTCATTATGAATTTCTGCCTAAAAGACGAGATGCTGAATTTGGATACATATATCACTTCTAGTTGGATATTAATCGTTTGTAGACTCACGTTCTATCTCTTTGCCATTGAAATTTAGGTTAGTAGAGGTTTATTTTGATGCAAATGATTAAACAAGATGTGGGGCCATTGAAAAGTAACATTGATGAATATTAGACAGAGGATATTGGATCTTGATCAATCTCTTAATTGATCACTTAATTCTTAGATGTGAAAAGCTCCTTTTAATTTAAGGATTTAAATTAAATTACCCAATCAAATCCTTAAAAATTAATTCAATTTCTGAGGATTTGATTCGTAATTGAGAATCTAGATCAGATATTTCTTCAGTCGTCCTTTTTTTCCACAAGATTATCTACTTTCTACTAAATTTTATTTTATCTTAATTTTGTTAATTTAATTTAACTTGACGGTGTAGTTTAGGAGAAGGAATTACACACATGTACCACAAAATTGTATTATTTACTGATTAACTTAAAAGAAGAAAATAATTTATAGTTTATAATTTGCAGTTTGAATGATAGTGTGAAATTATAAATGTTATATTATTATGAATATTATTTATTATAATATTTATTATTTATTATTATAAATGTTAGATACTATGAATATTATTTGTTATAATATTTATTATTTATTATTATAAATGTTAGATACTATGAATATTATTTATTATAATATTTATTATTTATTATTATAAATGTTAGATACTATGAATATTGTTTGTTATAATATTTATTATTTATTATTATAAATGTTAGATACTATGAATATTGTTTGTTATAATATTTATTATTTATTATTATAAATGTTAGATACTATGAATACTGTTTGTTATAATATTTATTGTTTATTATTATAAATGTTAGATACTATGAATATTATTTATTATAATATTTATTGTTTGTTATTATAAATGTTAGATACTATGAATATTATTTATTATAATATTTATTGTTTATTATTATAAATGTTTGATACTATGAATATTATTTATTATAGTATTTATTGTTTATTATTATAAATGTTAGATACTATGAATATTATTTATTATAGTATTTATTGTTTATTATTATAAATGTTAGATACTATGAATATTATTTATTATAATATTTATCGTTTATTATTATAAATATTATATAATTATATATTATACAATAAATATATTTACATATAATTTAATTTAATTAATTATACATTATACAATAGTATAAATATGCATAAAATAAATATACAACAATAATCTGGAATATATTATATGCCTATACGTGTACAATATTATATACAATACATATACATTAGACATGTATTAATATACGTAATATATATATATTACTTTTTAATGTATACACACACACACACACACACACATTAATACATTTTATATATATCTAATAATTTATTAAAGATTAAACAAAAGTAATGCAATTAAACAAAACCCGCTTTGAAAAAAGGGAAAACACTATTTCAATACGTTCCATTTAGATGAAATCCAACACAGTTTCGCGAAGAAAATTCATCGTATATAATTGTTTCACGAAATGCTTCAAGATGCTGTTGTGATCCTACGAGTAATTCTCAATGTTTTTCAGTATGCCCAAGAAACGCAGCACGAGAAGATCCTCCGAGGATTAGCCGTGGGTATCGCGTTCACTATGTACGGCCGTTTGGAGGAAGCTGATCCTCTGGTCTCTTCACTTTGCGCCGACAAGGACCCGATCCTTCGAAGGAGTGGCATGTACACGTTGGCGATGGCCTATTGTGGAACCGGAAACAATCAGGCCATCCGGAAGCTGCTGCACGTTGCTGTAAGTTTTCATAAAGCAAAGCTGCTCTCTCTCTCTCTCTCTCTCTCTCTCTCTCTCTCTCTCTCTCTCTCTCTCTCTCTCTCTTTTTCACGCGTGTCATTTTGTTTCCTACACGCAGTCTCGTTTTTGATTTACCGACGATGACGATTAGATACGACGGTTATTCGATTTATTTTGAATAAAATACAGTAAGCGACAGTGAAAATATGCATAAATAAAATATGCACGCAGTTATTGTGATTGATTGAGTTTCACAATCGTGTAGATCAACGGATATAAATAATCGTGTTGAAGACGGTGAGGAACGATTAGTATCGGCGCGTCGCGCGATTAGAATTTTTTATGAAGATTTTATTTGTTTATCGATTGTTTTAAATTAGATTAAATTTTTTCGAGCGTATCGAAGTTGTGTGAAAAATTGATTTGTTGAATTTGTTCGAGTCACTGATCAATTGCGATTAATTATGGCAAAAATGTTTAGAACGCTCGAGAGAATTTATTAGCGAAGAGTTATTATTTATCCATCGAGATATTATTTGCTAAGGAATGGAACAATAAATTTTTCGATTTCTTTTTCACTTCGGAATCTTAGTCAAACAACGAATAATTTCTTTCCTTAAATAGATCATATCCTCATACTTTCACATGAACTCGTGTGATATAATTTTTCGTCAAATTTTTACTTTAAGAATACAATTAGGAGATCAAGCTGATTTTCGTAAATTCAACTATGTTTCTGTTAATTATTAACATACGTAGGATTCTAATAGTCTACGAGTACTCGCTCGAAGCGTGAATATTAAAAAAAAAAAAAAAAAAAAATCTTGAACGAAACGAGTGTAAATTGTTTCGCTTCAAGTGCTGTCTCGTGTTCTCAAATGTCGTTTTTAATCACTGTAAAAAATTCAATTAGAGTTGTTACATTTTTGCGTAATGTAAACTCCTTAACATAACTTTCTTATCAGAATTATTACAGAGTTATTGCATTCTTTCTTCCTTCAAGAGAGCGAGAGATAGATTGAAATAATTCTACGAAACGAGACTGAAATTGAATTTTTCAGCGTGACGTGGATTACATGGATCAGTAGAAAATATTGTTTATATTTGGAAAAATGAATGTAACTGAAAGATAGTTGTGATACCGGGATGAATCTAACGCGTCAAGGTGTAAAATTTCTTGTCCAGATTAATTTCGATGATCGACGACGATAGTGATGACAACTAATATCAGCTATTTCTTTTCTTTTTTTTTTTCTTCGTACAGAGACGATAAGTAATATTACTTAATTCCATTAATCATTTAATACTATTTAATACATATAATTTCAAATGTTAGATGCAGAAGTAGAACACTCTGATTTTCAATCGTTCGCGTCATTTTCGTTGTTTATCGATCTTCCTTAATGGAAAATTAATGTCAGTTCTTCAGGAAAAGATTAAAACTATTATATATATATATATATATATATATATATATATATATATATATATCGGTCAAGGTGAGAGTATTTTTTGATCAAACGTAGCTATTGAAAAAATGATTAAATTCTTGCTAAATAGTTCGTGAACTATTGATGATTAAATTATCAGAATAACTATTGAATTAATTTCTTAGCAACAAATTTAAATTACAAATGATCGATTATTTCGCCTTTACTAATTAGTAAAAGATTAAGTTTTTGGTAAAAAGTCAAGTTGTTGTAATTATTGAATTAGTGATATCATTGTTAAAAAAATTGAATTCTAAATAATATATATTATTAGGAATATGTAAGTATATAACAATATGTATTATTAGGAATTATAAATAATAATAATGTTAAAGGAATTATAATATATAATAATATATATTATTAGGAATTATAAATAATAATAATGTTATAAAAATAATAATAATATATATTATTAGGAATATATATTATTAATATATATTATTAGGAATTATAAATAAAATAATGTTATATAAATTATAAATAATAATAATAGTGTTATATAAATAATAATAATGTTATAGAAATAGTAATAATAATATATATTATTAGGAATTATAAATAATAATAATGTTAAACTACTTAAACTTAAAAAATTAATTTTTAAATACCAATTAGTAAAAATGTCTAACTCTGTCTTCCACTACGTGAAACCTGAATCAACAAACGTGAGAAATCTCAATTTCTACCGCAACGAATGAATTCGTTGATTTAATAACGAAAGTATCAAATCGTCAAACAGTTTCTCGTAAAATCAATTCCATGCAATAAATAGTCAAAGGTTATATTAAATTAACAGTAATATAATAGTAAAGTGTAACGGTAATAGCATTGAAATAAAGATTAATTTTTTTATTAGGCAAAAAGGTCAAGGTTATTACAAGTTGTTAAATTATCGAGAATAGTGAAATAATTATTAGAAAAATCGAGTTCTCGGTAAAACGTCGAAATTATTGTAAATCACGACTAAAGTAATGATGTATTAAATCAGAGGTGGCTGACTGGCGGCCGTTGCCCCCTCCAATGCATCGATCTCGGTGGAGGGGGTAATGATGGCGTACAGGAAAGTAGGGACAAGTCGCCAATTATTAGCTTACTCTGTATTAAACTATCAAAAAATTGATTCCTAGCAATTAGTAAAAATTCCAATATACAATTACGAAATCTGAAACCAACAAACGTGAGAAATCTCAATTTCTACCGGAGAGTGAAATGAAGATTTCTCAGAATTAACGAGAAAATGTGAATCTGTCGCAAGATCAATTCTACGTAATATTACAGAAATATTATGTTCTTTCAGGTCTCGGACGTGAACGACGATGTTCGACGAGCCGCGGTCACTGGTCTGGGATTCTTGCTGTTCAGGTGAGTACCACTAAAGAATACTTAACTTCGTTGAATATGGGGCCGAAGTATGCGAATTCCTCGACGCGGCCCAGGTTCGTGTCGACGTACCTTTCTTTTCGGAAGTTCTCGCGCACGTCGTCGACATAACCATGCATTTAATAACGTCATCGAGAGGTTCTCGTAAATATCTGAAATCAGACGAGAGAAAAAAAAAAAAAAAGAGGCATTGAGACGGAGTGATTTCGTGTTTCGAGATTGCGAGTATACAATTTTGATAATTAACGCGAGAGAAGGTTAAAGAAGGAGTTTGAAAGGATTAAAAAAAGAGAAAGAAAGGGAGATTTATTTAATTTAAAAGAAATATTCACAATAGCGTCGGAGAAATGTAAAAAAAAAACGTGAATGTTCCTGTTGGAAAATTTTAAAAGCGCGTCGCTCTAAGCTTTGAAACGACAGAGGGCAGAGAGAAAATTTTTTTTTTTAGAGAATTTTATTTCGCCTAATGAAATTCTCTTTTATTTCCCGCCTTTTCGACACATCCGTACGAAAGGCTCATTTCTGACGATTTAACTCTTTTGTGCGTGGGAAACTTTTACTCGCGCGAGCGTAAATTTCCAGCTCATTTTTATAGCGAAACTGCGAAGGTGTGTTTCCGAAAAATAAATTTGCAATCTTATTTACGCGGTAACCTTCTCTCTTTAATTTCTTATCAGTAAGTTTTTTTTTTAAGTAGATTTATCGTAAAACGTTTAATAAATAGGTTTTGTTTGAAATTGGAACATTTTCCAAAAAAATAAATCTGTAAATTTATTTACGCGGTAATTTTCTCTCTTTATTCTAATTTCTTATCAGTAAGTTTTTTTTTTCAAATAGATTTCACGTGAAACGTTTAATAAATAGGTTTTGTTTGAAATTGAAACATTTTTCAAAAAAATAAATCTGTAAATTTTTTTACGCGGTAATTTTCTCTCTTTATTCTGATTTCTTATCAGTAAGTTTTTTTTTTCAAATAGATTTCACGTAAAACGTTTAATAAATAGGTTTTGTTTAAAATTAAAACATTTTCCAAAAAAATGAATCTGTAAATTTATTTACGTGGTAATTTTCTCTCTTTATTATAATTTCTTATCAGTAAGTTTTTTTTTTCAAATAGATTTCACGTAAAACGTTTAATAAATAGGTTTTGTTTAAAATTAAAACATTTTCCAAAAAAATGAATCTGTAAATTTATTTACGTGGTAATTTTCTCTCTTTATTCTAATTTCTTATCAGTAAGTTTTTTTTTTCAAATAGATTTCACGTAAAACGTTTAATAAATAGGTTTTGTTTGAAATTAAAACATTTTCCAAAAAAATAAATCTGTAAATTTATTTACGCGGTAACCTTCTCTCTTTATTCTAATTTCTTATCAGTAAGTTTTTTTTTTTAAATAGATTTATCGTAAAACGTTTAATAAATAGGTTTTGTTTGAAATTAGAACATTTTCCAAAGAAATAGTTTTCCAAATAATTTTAGTCCAATTATTGTCCGAAAACATGTACTTTTCTAAAATTTCCTACAACGTAGAGATTTCTAGAATTTGCCTATTTTCAAAATTTCGAAAAAATTACTATCGCTGAAATTCGCCTATCTCGAGCGTCCTTGAAAATAAATTTCCTTTAAAACCAATACCTGCTTGGAAAATATAAATTTTTCTAATCTACATTTTACTAGTTTTCCAAACTAGTAGAAGAAATTTTTCTTGCCACGAAGAAAATTGTTTCCTACTGAACAGATATTTCTGAAATTTTACCTACTTTTAAAATCCCTCAAAATTACGGAAAAAATTCGAGTAGGTGTGACAGGTGATGATATCAAAAATTTCTGATTGTTTCAAATCTAAATAATCAGAATGCTAATGCGCCTAAATGTTGTTCAAATTGACAAGATTGCGTGTCAGTTTTATCAAGACGTGTATCGAGAGATCAGTGTCGTTTGTGTGTTTTTTTCTTTTTCTTCTACTCGAGATTTAAGACACGGTTGCGAAATAAAAATATTTACAACGTCTAGATAACTTATCGAGGATGATCTTCGTTCGATGTTGTGATTATCGTTTCACCATTGGTTCTATTTACACGCGTGTTTTCGCTCATGCTCCGAGAGAGCGTTAAGAGTTTGTTTGCAGGCTCATCAAATGCTTTTATCAATGAGTATTTGTAACGCTTGCGAAAGAAAAAAAAGAGGATTATTACAACGTGTCAACAATACAACTCTCTTTCGCTGATAATAGAATTAATAAGGGGACTCGATATTGTTCGATTGACAATAAAAGCATTATCAATGTCTCGAGAAGATTATATTAATATTATTAGCGATAAATTTTCGAAACTTACTCAATTATTTTAGCAAACTTAACTGTTGAATAGGCAAATCTTTACCATTATATAATACAGTATGTGAATTGAATCACACGAATTATTTTTCAATTACTCTAATTTTCGTTTCGAAAGCAGATCGAGATCATTTCAAGTAATATTTGCGAGTAAGAGGCGTTCAACGTGAACGCGTACAATCGAGCATGATAAAACGATTATGCGAGTTGATTATAAATGTCTGTGAACCACTCTCGATTGGCAATCGATTGTCGAACAAGCAGCTCGCCTGCAATTTACGACAATTACGTGATCGATTAAATGTCGTAACACTTTGAATTGTCGCCTAATCGAGCGAAAATTACACGTGCAATTGGCATCTTTTGTCGAGATACGCTGTAACATGCGACTTTCATGCTCTCTTTGTTTGACGATCTCTTTGAGAAATTCGCTCGTACATTTGCGAACTATGTCAACTATTTAAATATATATTAAATAATAATAGCAACGACATAACATTAAAACACGACACTGTTTTACGCAACGAGTTTCGCGATTTATTTGTTTGTTTAAATTCAACTGACGACATATCTCTTGTGTTGGTGGGAGAAAGTTAAATGAATCGCTATATGAGAATCATGTTATAAAATTAGTTATATTGAGGTACACGTATATTGTCAATATACGTGTTAATATATATATATATATATTGTAAATAATAAATTTATATAATTATAAAATTATATAAATTTAAATTATAAAATTTGCAAATAACAAATTTATATAATTATACAATTATATAAATTTAAATTATAAAGTTTGTAAATAATAAATTTATATAATTATAAAATTATATAGTAAAATTATGATTACGTTAGCGAATTTGCAATTTCTTTTTTTTTTTTTTCAATTTAATTTAAGAGAACAAATCTTCTTTTCGAAGATTCTCGACTCAGGAGCAATTAATAATTTAGGTAATGCTTGTGTGATTTATTTAATCTGAACTTAGTGAAAAGCAATCAGGTAACGTCGATTTTCTCGATGAAATGATTGGAAACTAATTTTTATCGCGATGTTGTTGAACGAAATTCGACGTCCATGCCTGTGTGCTATTCCCCATGAAAATTCAAAATCGTTGTTAAAACGCGCGCGCGCGCGCACGGGGGATTAGCCATTGGAGTTTACGTTTAATTAAATTTAAATCTAAAAGAAATATTGCATTTAGGGTGTAATCTCAATCGTTGCGCGATTATTTCCCGCCCGGAGGGAATTTTACTTTAATCAATCCGATATCAGCTTATCAGGGTTCCATCAGGAACTGATAAATTATTTCCGCTCGAAGATTCTATTAAAATAACGAAAATAATTTTTCTTTTTTTCTGTTCATTCGTATCCTTCTTCGGTCATCGATTCAATTTCAGTAGATTATGGTCGTGGATATTGAAGCTTGTTAAAATTGTAAAGAAATTGCTAATAATGGAAAGTTGATTTAAATTAATATCACTTCTGAGAACATTTATTAATATTAGTTAATATTAGTATTAATATTTATTAATATTAGTTATATTAATGTTAGTATTAATATTAATATTAGTTATATTAGTTATATTAATATTAGTATTAAAATTTATTAATATTAGTTAATATTAGTATTAATATTTATTAATATTAGTATTAATATTAGTTATATTAATTTTAGTATTAATATTAATATTAGTTATATTAGTTATATTAATATTAGTATTAAAATTTATTAATATTAGTTAATATTAGTATTAATATTTATTAATATTAGTATTAATATTAGTTATATTAATTTTAGTATTAATATTAATATTAGTTATATTAGTTATATTAATATTAGTATTAAAATTTATTAATATTAGTTAATATTAGTATTAATATTTATTAATATTAGTATTAATATTAGTTATATTAATGTTAGTGTTAATATTAATATTAATATTAGTATTAATATTAGTTATATTAATGTTAGTGTTAATATTAATATTATTATTAGTATTAATATTAGTAGTATTAATATTAGTATTAATATTAGTTATATTAATGTTAGTATTAATATTAATATTAATATTAAAGTTGTATTACATTTTTAATATATTTATTATAATATTTATTATACAAAATTATAACGATTGCATGTTATTATAACGTGTATATTTCGTATATTATATTCTGACATGTTAAATTTCAAACATTTCGCAATAGAATATTGCGTTAGAAAATTGAGAAAGGAAGATTAATCGCAAAATATCTGAGAAACATTGAACGCAATGTTGGAGAAGACAAAGACCTCTGCTAGAATCTACGATTCGAAAGATGCATTTACATTCCTCAATACCGTTTGCAACAACGATTTTATCTCGCGTCGCGGATTTCATAAGAGATAACGCTCGCTGAAACACGAATACTGTGCTCCCTCACAATGAAGAAGAAAAGAAAAATCAATATCCGTTTGAAGACAAAAGAGACGGGGATTAAATCGTAAAATAATCGTCGCTCGAAATAAAGTGGAAAAGGTGGTAAATGACTCACAATGTATGCAATAAAATGCAGTAGAATTCAAATTTAAAAAAAGTCAATTAAAATTTCTGGCGATTTACTGGTAGGTTTTGAGCGAACGGGGAACTGAATGAAATTGAAATTGAAGAGCTTGGAAATATATTTAACTATT